CGGGGGAACGACCAGGACGAGGAGGGGGGGCCGGCCGCGGGTTTGGGCCTCGGCGCCTCCGGCAAGCCCAAGTGCTTCCGCGAGGAGGAGCGCTTTTCCGCCTCGCTGGGGGTGGTCTACGAGACCAACCGCAGCCTCAACTTCACCTCGAAGAACTTCCGGGTGATCTCGCAGACCCCCGAGCGCATCCTCGACGCGGCGGACATGATCGACGACTTTTACATGAACCTGATGGATTGGTCCACCCGGGGCGTCATCGCGGTGGCGCTTCAGTCCTCGGTCTACCTTTGGGACTCCACCACATGTAAGATCACGCAGCTGCCACCGCACCCCACGGAGGGCTTGCGGGGCGCTTCCGTTGCCATGCCCGCCACCACCGAAAAGGTGGTCTGCAGTGTGAGTTGGACCCCGGACGGGCAATCCCTCGCCGTCGGCGCCAACGACGGGGGGGTGGATACGTGGGATGTCGAGGCGAGGCAGGTGGTGCGGCGCTGGCATAAACACAGCCGTCGGGTGGGTTCGCTGAGCTGGACGACCGACGGGAAGGTGCTGGTATCCGGCAGCAAGGACGCGACCATCAGCCTGCAGGACTTGCGCGATCCATCCGACACCATCCACATCCTGCGAGCCCACACGCAGGAGATCTGCGGCCTGCGCTGTTCGCCCCACCGCGGCAGCGTCTACTTCGCCAGCGGGAGCAATGATAATCAGCTGCTGGTGTGGGATCGCCGGCAGCTTCGCAGTGGCGGCTCGGGCACCATCACATCCGACGCGCAGCCGGTGTTTTGTCTTAATCAGCATCGGGCCGCCGTCAAGGCGATTGCCTGGCATCCTATCCAATCCTCCCTCCTCGCGAGTGGCGGCGGGACGGAGGATAAGACGCTGCGCTTTTGGAATACACTCACGGGGGAGTGCGTGCGCCACTTCAACACTCAGAGTCAGGTCTGCGGGGTATTATGGAACCACGCCGGGACGGAGCTGGTTAGCTCGCATGGCTTCTCGAAGAACCAGCTGAGCATTTGGAAGTACCCTTCGCTGCGCCGGGTTGCCGATCTCACCGGGCACACTTCCCGCGTCCTGCATTTATGCCTTTCCCCGGATGGCGAGACGGTCGCCTCCGCGGCGGGCGACGAGACGATTCGATTTTGGCGCTGTTTTTCGCCTGGCCCCGCAGCCGGGGCGGTCCAAACGCCCACGACGACATTCTCATCGTCGACGTCGCCTTCACAACGGGGAGGGTTTCGTGTGGGCGGCATCAGCGGATGGGCCGATGCGTCCTCTTTCTCTCCCCTCCCATCGTTAGTTCCCACATACAGCTGCGGCGGCGGCGATTGGTCGCCCGCGAAATCGACTACTTCCAACCTCTACGCGGATCCCACTACCATCTTCCAGGAAGTTGGCTTTCGTTAATATATGGTAATAAATATGGACTATGACAGGAATAGTAGAAATGTAGTTGGGACTTGGTCTTGTGGTACAATCGACGGAGGTGGGTGTCATTGTCTACAAGTCCCTTTCATTGATCTTATAGTAAAGGGATTAAAAAGAAAAACAGAGTCTATGCGCGACAGAAGGAGAACAGCCTTGCATAAAGTAGTGGTATAAAGTTGTACACCAGGGCTAGGTTACGTTTGATGCAGATAAACCAAGTACCAAACAGCCTTTCACCGTCCATTTTTTTTTTGCTACCGCTTTATATTGGTAGCATTGCTTCTTCCTGTTTTGTCCCATGGCATTCCATTTTTCGTTACTAAAGACGAGAAATAAAGATGTTAAACTGAAACAAGAATGACCCCATTTTTTGGGAGAGGTTTGGCGTTGTTGCGTGATTTATATAGACGATCATGTTAAACAGTCATATATAAGTTCACAATACATATGCATATGTATATGCGCACACATATTTATTTAATTGTCTTATCCGTTTATATGTTAAGATTCACTTGTACTTCTGGCTTCAAAACTCGAAATACAATCGCTTTACTTCTCTACCTACTTATCCCGAGCACATGAGAGAACGAAGTTATTAGCGAGGTTTTTTTTTCTGTCTTGCTATGGTAATTTTTGTTAAATCCTACTTTGTAACCCTTTTGGTTTACTTTTCGAACTGTATTTTTATCCAACAAGCTCACATCTCACTTGCCAACCAAGCTTTAAAGACCCGAATGCTTTAAAAGGGACTAAGCTTCTTCTTCTTTTTTAGATCTTAATCTAATTTATGAGTTGTTAGTATCTCTTCTTCTTTTCAAATTTGTCGTTGTTGTAGACCGCATTATTTGTCCCGATGAGTTTAGCACGTCTAGTGAGGGAGTGTAATGCGCAGAACCTCCAAGAGAGTGTCCAAGGAGGCGCCCATACGAACACGGGCACCGCCTTCATTCGCGCCGCGATGAGTTTTTCCCTCTGTCGTATTCGTGCCGATCTGGACTGTCTAAACGGCATTTCCAGCAAAGTCACCGCCAGCCCTTCGGACCCCTTCGTCGTCCGGGTTATTGTCCAACCCACCCGTGGGATTTGGGAGGGCGGGACGTTCCATTTCACCCTTAACTTCTCCGATGATTACCCGTACGAAGGTCCTAAGGTGCGCTATACTGGCCCTTATCGTATCTTTCATCCTAATATTGAAGGGGAACGCGACCGGAAGGACTGGGGGGTTTGCCTGGGACTCCAATTAGAATGGCGTCCATCCTACACAATCAAGGACTTGGTGATTTACATCGAGCTGCTGTTTTCGCATCCCGTCTGCGAAGACCCACTTCCAGGGGTTTCCAAGGCCGCCGCACAGATGCTGAAGGATCACCCCTCTGAGTTCAGAGAAACCGCGCGGCGTTGGATGAGGGGGGAATATTGCTGAGACGGGGAAACCTTATTGAAAAAGGACAATTTCATTAAGAAGTATAGAAGAAAATAGCCTACCAAATTGACATACGAATCTCTATTCTACTCCGTGTAGAAGAATATATGAATGCGATAGGGGGTCTGTATGCTTTTGATTCAACTTCGTCTGCGGCTTTACTCAATACAGTTCTTTTTTTCGTTATCTTTTATGGGCTTCTGAATTATTTATAGTCGAGCGTTCAAAATACGTTTAGTTTGCTCCTACTTCAAAAGAAATCACTTTCAGGAAGTAAGCGATTATAATGGAAGCCTGAGGACTTTTATGTAAGCTTAATTTTCCCTTTTCCTACAGATGTTTTTTTTTCCTAAGAGGTCAGCGCTTTGAAGTTGGCAGAATAACATTATTCATATTGTTTGGTAAGTTCTTTGAGGGAAAAATGATACCACCAGTAAGAATAATTTAGCATGCGCCCCAACGAAGGTTCCAGGTTGTTTTTTAATGTTGATTTATTCAATTAAGAGTTCCACAATTGATCTCCTTGTTAAGTTCAGTGTTTCATCCGAAGAAACTGAAATATACGGCTTGTAAGCTTTTTTTTTTTTAAGTCAAGCGGACAAGAAACATTGGGGCAATCATGACCGAAGCAAAAACAAACGTACCCATTGATGAGCATGAGGAATCGGCATACCCCAATGTACAGGCCCTTTTCCCTGGGATTCATCGCGACGAAAATGGTACCCCGTATTACAGCGCCGGTGGCGGCGAAATATATTACAGTGGCACCCCTTTTGGGATGCTTCAGAGCATCTTCGACTTTTTAATTGAGGAGAACAAGCGCGTGGATTATTCCTCCTCGGCGTTCGTCGGCCTCGACGCCCACACCCGTTCTCCGCTGTGGATGGAGCATAAAAACACCCACATTGATGGTACCATCGTCCCAGACGAATCCATCGCTGCGGATCCCAAACACTGGCGGACGAAGTACCGCAAGGAGCTCGACATCGCCGAGGCGATTGAGGAGGCCCGCAAGCAGGCCCGATTTGAATCCAAGAATGATTTCTTCGCTGTTTGGGGGTGGGTTCGTCGAAGGTTCAACTTTTCCACCCCGCCAGAGGGGGCCCAGCCGACGGTAAAGGTCGAGGCGCCGCCTAGCGCGGAAACGAAGAAGGAGTTACCGCTCGGGGTGTTGGTGGAGAAGTCGACCGGGAGCGAAGGGAGCGTGTGGAGGGCGCTGATGCATTCCGTGGAGTCCGGCAAGCCGCTTGCCAAGGCGGCCAAGGAATACCGCCCCCGCATCAGTTTCTACGGTCTGGATCCGTTTCTCGACTCATCGTACTCGCTGATTTGGTTTAGCGTCAAGTGTGGAGTCGGTATTGGGCTCCTACAAGGGACAATGCGTGCGGTCCAGACGATTGACGCCGACATTGCGTTTCTGAAGGCCTCCGGGCTTGGGGTGTTGTCAATACTCAACATGTCGGTTTTCGCGGGCGTGGTGAAGTGGAGCGGCAATATGGGCGTACTCGCGGCTGCTTTCTGTATTGGGGATCGGTTGGCGAGGGGCGTAAAGCGTCGCCTACTTCCATCCCACGATGCGGAGCGGCGGTCACAATTTAATTATATGGTGGGGTTGGCATTATCAGGCTCTACGGTAGGTATTATGCCATGGTGGATACTTAATGACGTGAAATTGGCTGGCCGATTGGCGATATCAGGCGCTTTTTTGGGAGGTGTATTGGGGATGGGTGTGGGACTGGTCATTCAGCGGCTTGTGGCACTGAACATATCTAAATTGGACGCCACAAACCGTCAGTTACGGTGCTATGAGGCATTTATCATGCGTCAACACAAGTGGCTGGAGCAGGAGTATCAGAAGCACAAATATGAGAATGCCGTATGGTGGTAGTAAATTATCGGGATTGGGTTATTTACCTTTCTTTTTATCACAGTTATCGATAGTGATTTAAGCATACAATTCACCTCTATCGCCTTTTTATCGTAGTATTCATTCCAACGCGATTAAAACGGGGACGCAGTGTGGGCCAAGCAAAAATAGGTTCTACCCCACCGTAATATCTGCGTTTAGGTTACTTTTTCTTACCATTTTTACTCCTTTGTAAACAGGTAGTACAATGTTATGACGACCGAAAGTGCACTATCTATGCTGCAGCTTTTCGAGTCATCAAACAATTTAGTCCCTGGGATAATTGAAGAGTTAAAGAGGTAGAATTGTAATATGAGGACTCTTTTTCCATTCCCTTATTTTGTTCCTCAAATCGAAATCTAGAAAACAACAAGGAATGTCCAGAGCTTCCCATGAAGCCACTCTGGCTGCCGCACACGCGCTGAAGAACCATTGCCATCATGTCATCAATACCATGAGCTCTACCACCGTCCCTGAAGCCTTTCTTTTTCGAGGCAACGCGTATTATGCTTTAGGGCAACCCTACTTTGCTTTAGCGGATTACAACATCGCTGAGAGTGTTCTTAATTTATCAAGTGATTACCAGGCCCGGTGTTTGCAGGCGGTGCAGCACTTCCCGGAGGTTCAGGTTGGCACCTACTCATCCACAAACTCGCATCTCCATATTTTCGTCAAGCCCTATCTTTCGGAGAAATGCGATACAGCATACATCAACAGCCACGTCGGGCGAGGGATCCTCGCGAACGAGGCTCTAGCGCGCCACAGCGTCGTGATGAAGGCCAGTGAGCCATGGTTAAGATACCCCACCCAGGATGGGTTGTGCGCCTTCTGTGCGATGCCGCTACCGGAACGTTTATTCCCGTGTAAAAACCCCCAATGCCACGAGGAGTACTGCAGTCGGGACTGCCGAGCACTCGCAAATAGCCTCTACCACAGCCACGTTTGCACGAATGAGGACTTCCAGAGCCTCGAGCTGGATCTTTTTAACCAAATGCAGAAGGCCCAGTCCAAGGGCGGCACCTCAACCGACCACAACGCGGCCGCCGCACAGTTGCTGATGCTGCGCGTGCTCGCGGTGGCGGCGAGGCGACATATCGTACCGAGTGTACAGCCTGAAGTTCGAATTCTCTCGGGGCGTCTGACCTTTAGCCCGAAAACCTTGTGTGAGTCCATGCTCCATATCTACGAGCGTCTTGTCCGTGCGATGCACATTGCGACGATAATTTCGTATGAGGAAATGATAGGAACACTGGCGCGCATCACGGCAAATTGTTTTCATACGCCGAATGCGGTTGAATTACATCTGCCACGATCAATGTTCAACCACAGCTGTGAGGCCAACGTTGCCGAGGATGCGCTGACAGGCAACATCGTCACGCTTCGCGAGGTGGCGGCTGGGGAAGAGCTCTGCATAAATTATTACCCGCACTTGAAGAAACTGCCCTACAACAAGCGCTTTGTGGAGCTCCAGAGGCGTGGATTTGACTGCAAATGTGTGCGCTGTCAACAGAATCGATGAGCGATTTCGTTGGATTCATTCTGTCGACTCCTGCTTACTAGGTTCTCATGGTACAGAGAGAAAAATATGGCGATCGATTTGCATGCGCGATAAACACCAGAAAAAGTGTCTTATGGTATTGGTGATTAATAAGAGACAGATCGTAAGACGAAAAGTCCAATATCTGAGGTGTATCCGAATTCTTATTCTTTTGTGGTGCTCCTTTTTGTTACATGCGTTCTTTTCCCTTTCCGGCACCAAATTTTAAGTGAAATTTAGTGGAACACATTAGGACCTTGACAGGTATGCCCATATATTTTTATCCAAAACTACTCGCAACGAAATAACGCAACCAATATTTTTTGTATAACACCAACTTTCCTTCGGATTTCTTTTTCTTCCACTTGACATGTTTTTTTCTTTTATTTCATGGGGTTTGTAGTTTCATAAATTAATTTATTCCCTCTTTCAATCTTTTCAAAAAGAAGTTCCTATGCTACGCACAGTCCTGCTTTTGGATGGGAGTGAGTCTATAAACAGCTCTTCGGACTACCTCCCCTCCTATTTGTTAGCCCTTCGCCCCCCACTCATGCAGTTCATCTCGGAATATCTCGATTCAACACCACTCGCCACGCTCGGTGCCGTTGTGATGCGGGATAGCATCAGTCGCCGGCTGTGCTCCTGCACCACAAGTGCCAACGAGATGGTCGAAAAATTAGAACGGGATTACTTCCTGTACGGTGGTTCAGGGGCCACTTCACTGGAAAACGGCTTACGAATGACCTTAAGCGAGCTGGTCGACTTGCAGAAGTTTGCCGAGAAGCGGCCTGGGGCGGACGCATCGTCTTCGCCCTCCCGCCGACGGCGGCCGCAGGCTGTGCAATTGCGCGTGCTGCTAATAACCGCATCCGTCACGTTGATCGACCCCACCGATATCTTTCGTGTGATCGCCACCTTTCGTAAATTTCACATTCAAATCGACGTCATTACCTTTCACGGTGCCGTCCATGTGTACGACATGTGCGCGCGGCAAACTGGTGGGCAGCTGTATTGCCCCTTGCGGTTTGACCACCTTTTGCGGATTTTACATCAGCTTGCGGTGAACGGCGGGTACACGGAGGACGCCGAGCGGAGCGGGCACCGTCCACAGCTGGGATACATCCTGCATCTCGCCCCGCACGGTAGAGCCGCCGCGGTGAATAAGGGGAACCCAAGCGAGGTGGGGTGGAAAAGTCCCCCCCCTCCTAAGGGTGGAGTGGAGAGCGACTCAATTGCTATGGTGCCCATCGGATTCCCGATCTTTTTGGAGCGACCGGTAAAGGAGGGCGTCGAGACCTACTTGGCTTGCCCGCAGTGCCACTTTATCCAAACCACCATCCCCGCCACTTGCCCGCTCTGCAAGCTGCTTTTGTGCAATGTCGGGATGCTCTTTTCTACCTTCGTCGCCCACAACCGTTTGGTCCCGCCGTATCGTCGACTTCCTCAGGAATTGCCTCGGTTGGGGCCTGGGGAGGGGCCGGACGGCGAGGAGAATGAGGAGAAGGAGGGCGAAATAAACGAAAAAGCCGGGAAAAGAGAGGGGGATGTGCGATGCCACCTGTGCGCGGACGTGGTGGGGCAGGCGGGCGAGGATGGATGGGTGTGCGAGTCGTGTGCGGGTGTGCGGTGTGGCCCCTGTCAAATGTTTGTGGTGGAGACACTGGGGCTTTGTCCTTCGTGTATTGCATTACAGTAGTGCCTCAGAAGTTATGCTTATGTGTGAGTGTGTGTGTAGGGTGGTGAGAAGGGGAAAGAGAAGGAGGAGGTTTGATATAAAAACTTTACCGTCCTCATCCCCCTCAATTAAAAAGAAAAAAGGAATGCGCCGTTATGCCCTTCCGCATCCTTCAATTTTTTTCCCCTGAAGACATAGGAAGCAAACCTTCCATGAGATATGTTTTGAAAATGTTTGGAAAATCGACCTTGTCATACACCTTTCTCCCAATGGATGAGTTTTATTCGTCTTTCAGAGGAGTATAAGAAGCAAGGCTTTAGAGTTGTTTGCTATAGATAGCGTGCTCATGTTGCGTACATCTTATTGGAGACGAAACAGTATTGTAGCATTGACGCCTTCCTGTTGGAATGAAATTCCTGCTGGATGGTTCCTCGTTCCAAGCTCTGCCGTACCGCAAGGAGAAGAGTTGCGGGTCTCGAAGCTTTTTGATTTCCTAAATCATGGGGCACAGTATTTGTTTTTTGGAAAAGTAATGGCCCTCGCCGATGAGCTGCAATGTATTCCCCGGGTTGATTGGTTTTTTACCGAGCTATATTTCACACTGCCTCCCACACCTCAGGCAGGAATTCTCGCTAGTTACATGAATGATGAAGAGCGCCTGCGATGCGGTTTGCGAAACCATTCGAAGGGCGGGACGAGTACGTCTTCATTTCGATGGAGCCTGGAACTCGAAAAGCGCGTCAATGAGCGTGCTAAGGGGGACTTCTGCTGGCTCCTTACTGAGGACCAGAACAAGACGCAGAAGTTCCTGCAAGAAACCTATTTACAGTGGCACAATCGCGCAGACTACCTTGTCTCACGCATGAGCCGTGAGAAGAAGGAGTTCCGCCCGGACCTTACGCTTCAGCAGGTCATTCAACAGGGCCAAGAGCGGAAACGTCGCATGCAGCGACGTCGTATGATGGCCGAGACCAAGGAGGAAAACATTCGAACTGGCAAAGCGAGTGAGTGGGATAACTTTACATTTGACGTACTTCCACGAGACTTGCGTGAGGCGCTCGATCGTGAGAGCGACGGGATGGAGGACGTGCGCATGTCTCGTGTCGGCTCGGCTACGGGTGGGTGGAGTAAGAGTTTTCGTTCGAATCCTAACATTAGGTAGCAGGTAATTGCATGACTCATAGGCAAATTTGCTATGCAAATAAGAGGGGTGTTGTGTACCATTCGATCTAGTGCACTTTTTCCTTTAGTAGACACGTATACACGTGTTAGGGGTGATGCTGCCTAATGGACCACGAACATATGCATGGATAACCGCAACCTATAAACACTCCCCAATAAAGTTTTTGTATTTTTATCATGATGAAATGGCTTTCCTCCTGGATCGATTTTGGTACTGCACACATTAAGGTATAGGTAGAGAAAAGAAGGTCAAACTTCAGTAATATAATGTTTTCCCACATTAGATTACACCTGCGGCCGCGCACGATGCACCCCAAGGCGTTTATGACCGATTTAAATCCCGAAGCGATGGCCCTGCGAGCAAGCTTGACCTCGATGCAGAAGAAGCTTCAAAAGCCTGCTATTCTTCAGGATTTGGATGCAAGCATTCCCCTTCAGATGGGTGATCATGTCGTGAGGGCGCGGTCACTGTGGAACTTTTCTGTGGTGGCGCGGGGCAACAAGCATGCTCGGCGCTCACAAGGCGTTTGTGTTGTGGGGGGAGCCAAAGCGATTCGCCGAATCTGGCGGGATTACCGTGTTCCCCCAAACGTAGTGTATGTGCCTAATACGGAGCCCGAGGTGCCGTCATGGTGTCTAGAGGAGAGCTTGCCGTCTTTCATTGTTCGCTGTCCTCCTGTGGAAGTAAAAAAAAACCTGCTCAGCGCTGAGTACAGCGACGGATATGCGGCGGAGTTCCCGTGGCATCCCTCACAGCTAAGTCCTGCAGCCTCACTTTTCTCCGAAGACCACACGGCTGGAGAGGACTTTGCGGCGACGGGGGATGACGCCGCTGCAGCATCGCCATATGACAGACGAGATGCTAGGCTCATCAGGTCTATGCTCGTACTTGTGGGGCTTCGGATTCCAAGCAACGTTGGCATGCTTTTGCGTGCCGCGGTGGACCTCAAGTATGATAGCGTGCTCTTAATAAACAGTGTCGACCCATTTCAGGAAAAGGTGGTTCGCGCGAGCGAGGGTGCAGCCTTTTCGCCTCGCATGCAGCTCTTTGAAATGCCTGACACAGCTTCGTGTGTTTCGCTTTTGAGTAACGTTGCTTTACGGCACCACCTTTTGCCCCTTATTGCAGTACCCTCGCAAGGGGTAAAGCAGGCGTTTGAAGTTGCGAAACATTTTCACGTCCATAACGCTCGACAGAGACAGCGTGTGCATGCGGCGTTGACATCGTCTATTCCAGCTGGTGTTTTAGGGCCAATGTTGATCCTCGGTTCCGAGTCGGGAGGTCTGCGTGGGCTAGACGATGGTGAGTGGGGTTTACCCTACCAACTGTTGACACTACCGTTACCAAATACGATTGTTGACTCCCATAACGTAACGGTTTCCGGCTCAATTCTTCTCAATCTCTTTAGACCCGACGCCGAAGCTCATTTTATGGAGTGTGTTGCCATAACCGGGGAGTGCCTCTCGAGTGAAAAAACTAACGTCCCTTTTTGGGCAGAGCCCGAGGAAGTACCTCATTTATCGGAAAACTAGTTATAAAAGGAAGACTAATGCTTGATTTAAGTTTTGTTCAATTTACAATAGAAAGCACAGACACTAAATGTTTGAAATGGCTAAATTTGGTATGGGATCAAAAACGACAGTCGATGGAAATAGTAAAATTCTTCCAACCTTCCTTCCTGTAGTCACCGTAGATTTCCTCAAAACTTGATTGGGCGGGCGGCTTAATCCTAATAGGGCGAAAAGGCTTGGCGTACATTAAGGCCGCGGCCGCGCCTGGCCGCGTGGTCTAGTGGTATGATTCCCGCTTCGGGTGCGGGAGGTCACGGGTTCAATTCCGTGGGGGACCATTTTCCACATTTTGCGCCAGTCTGGAACTGTGATCGAAAAAGCACTCCCACCTGGACTCGAACCAGGGTTATCGGATTCAGAGTCCGAGGTGATAACCGCTACACTATGGGAGCGTTAAGTTTTTATAGAAAAAATATTTTTATGTAATTTATTTAAAAATTCTATTTTTTTATATTCCTTAATTAACTTGGATCTATAAATCCTATATTGGAGCCTCTTCTGAGGACATCCACAACCTGGAACTTCAACAGACAAGATTAGCATTCTCCCTGCGCAAGGCCGATGACAATCTTCGAGAGATATAGCTTTTCAGCCTCCAGAGCCGGAGGGGGGTATTTCTTTTAATGGGGCATCTTTTGATTTTTTAGAAAATGCCTAATTGCTATAAAAAAGTAAACCGCTTTGAAAATCTATGTTTCCTCATATCGCACTTTTGCTTTATCATCAAAATATTTGTTGCTATAGTAATTCAGTCATTGGATTTTTAATGTTCCCAATGAAATTTATAACTTGGTGTTAACGTAAAACGGAAATTTATGATGTAATTTCATTATTTTTTTTCGTCAAATTATATATTCTGTCATAATTATGTTTTGTTGTCTCAGATTTTTCTTTGCTTTTAGCATTATTTACCCCAATTTGTGACAAGATCTATTGTATTATCTTTTACTTTTGGATTATTGCCATTCTTTCATATTTTAGTATCACTTTCGTCCTTTGTGTCGTATAAAAACCGTTTGGGCGTTTCCCCAAAGGGAAGGGCAGCAAAGATATTACGAAATATTTTAAACAATATTATTATATTTTTTGTGAATATATCGTTTTTCAGATTTATTTATAGACTTCACCTGCGTACGAAAATATTTTTTACGCCGTTTATTTCATTATGAAATCGGACGAACTTGTGGGATTTTGGGGTTTTGGGCACCTAACCAATTTTTTTGGAGCCTCCCCCAGAGTTCCGGTAAATCAAAGGTATTCTGCTAAATGAAATAGCTTCAGCGTATGTTGCACGCAGGTGAATGGTTAAGTTCAGCGCCGCCGCTATTAAGCAGATGTGAAACTTTTTTTTTAGGTGTCAGAAGGTATTTTTATTTCAAAAAGTGACACTATATAGAAAAATAATTTTACCTATGATTGGAAAGGGGGGGGGAGGGCTCTGTGAGTTTGTTAGATGTATTTTTTGCTTTACTATTCTAGCTTTTATATTTAAACGGAGTTCTGAATGGAGGTAGTGCCTTATTTCGATTCCTCGCTGGGATTGCTTAATTTGTGTCATCTTCTATTTTGAGGATTTGTAAATAAAAATTATGTGTAGATACTTTGCTCATGGTCCCTGGGCCTCAATGGAAGCGTGCTATGTTATTTAACCCTTTTTAAAACTTATCCAAACATTAGTATTGAATATAAGCTTTTTTTTACGAGACCCTGATGGCAATGTGACATTGCAGATGCTGAAAAAGTTACACAGAACGTCGTTCATTAAAATAACAGGCATATCAAATTTTTTATTTCATTTTTTGTCATTTATTTTATATATTACATTATCATAAATATATATAATATGTATAATTTTTTCCATCGTTATGGTTTATTTCTAATGAACTTATTTCATTTAGAGGAAAGCTAGGGACGGAATGTTTTTTTAAAAATATTATTACATTAATAATTTTTTTTTAGACGCTTATTCTTATTTTCCCTTAACTATTCTTTGGTTTTACTCAACTTTTAACTCAAAAAATAGAAAATGCAGGAAACCAACATTCATACTGCAGGACGAAATCTCCAATTAGATCAAAAAAAACAAAAGTCCCTTCACGATGTTTTACTCAAAAATTTTGGAGCAGTACCTAATCCGGCGAACCCATTTTTAGCAACAGTCCTTCTTTGTGGTGAAAAAGTGGAGGATGAACCTACTTGCACATCGCTAAAGACTCTTCTGGATGAATCCTTCATGAAGGCTGATTCAATAAATCCATTTGTAAAGGAATCTGAAAATTTCCACGTATCTGGTATTATCATTGATTACGAAAAGCACATTCTTCAGTTAGTACAAGGCCCTGACCACAACGTTTATTCGTATTTATCCGATTTGAAATCGGCAACAAATCTGATGATTAATAATTTTATTATTTTTTTTGATGATGACACGGATAAGCTTAAAATAAATGACTGGGTTTATATCGATAAAGTACCTCCTAAGGCACTAGAAGAAGTCGAAGGTTTAGAAAAATCAGAAGAGGAAATTTCAGATTCTGCAATAGGCGATTTATTTAATCTAATAGAGTTAGGATCTAATTGTATCGAACAAAGTCAGGTTCAAAAAGTTAGTTTTTCGGACATTGCTAGAGTCAAATATCCAAAGCTTTTCCCAAGCATAAATTCGCTTATGATGTATAAAAAGTGCAAGTTATTTTTTACTTTGGATGAATTTGTAGAAAATTTATGTATGTTTCCACAATTGACTCAAGATTGTGAACTAAATTATCCACTAGAAGATCCATTAAAATACTAAGGCATGCTAAATGCTTACGTCCTTATAGCGCCAATGTATAAATATTTTAATTTTTAAACAAAATGTAAAAATGATGCATTTATTTTTATATAATTAGCGTTCAACAAAGAGGTTGCTAATTTTTAATTAATGATTATTCCTTTTGAATTTGCTTTTATTATATAAATGATCAGTTTTTTTTTTAAGTTACTTCAAAATGCCAATGAAGAAACAACCATCAAAACTTAAACCAGTTCTTACTCCTAGGGTGGAGCAAGGTATTCGAAGCTTTACCTTGAGTTTTTTTTCAGGTTCAGAGTTAATTGGTCTTTTGGCCATCGAGCTTTCCTATATCGAAGCACCAAAAACATGTGAAATGTTCACACAGTATTGTACATTTCAGAATACCACGGAAAAGGCAAAAAACAAGCAGTATTTGTATAAAAATTGTCCGATAAAGCGCTTCACGAACACAGGTATACAAACTGGTGAGGTTACACCACAACCAAAGCCGGTACCAATAGCTGATCTGGAAGCAGAAATTGGCCGAGTACCTCATCATTTAGGTGTTCTATCCCTATGTAGATCAGCAAATTCATTTGACGGATCACAGTTTTTTATATGCTTGACTGATGATGTTAACGAGATTAGTTACCTGAATAGCTCTCATATCGCATTTGCTCGAATTGTCGAGGGGTTCGATGTTATTTCAAAATTAAAGGAGTCAATACTCCCTTATGTTGGGGACGATGGTGTAGTAGACAGCTCATGTCAAGTTTGTCTTTCCGAAATTGTTGCCCAAATAAGTGATCGAGGATGTAAATAATAGTTCAATTAGCTCACTTCTTCAATGTATTTATACAATTAAACTTTCAAACAACTATGCATTGAACTTATGAGTGAAAAGGTACTTGTATTTTTTATTATCTCATGATGATGTAGCGTTCTTTACTTATAGTCAAAATATATATATATATATATAGATACTCTGACATTTAAATGTTTGTTAACGAGAGTCTGTCATCTTTTCTCACGGCTGAAATAATTGTATATTTCAGCGAGAGAGCTAGAAATCTAAAGTTTGATGAATCCAATGCAAGACATTTACCAACATTGATGAACTTTAGTATAACAGCATCCCTTGAGAATCAGGGCGTACTCGTTGGTTTAAGGTTAACCGAACGACTTTTATATCATGAACCTTTGTTCGGAGGATTGCCACTTAATATTGCGCGGTTTGTTGGCCTTAGTTTTTGGAAAGCAGTTTTTGGGAAAAAAATCGACTCAGTAAAAATGGTTGACAATGTTTTTTATCTTTCAGATAATAACTTCAAGTGGCTTCTAGGGTATCCAAGATTATCAAGAACAGATCGTATATATACAGCAACTATTGCAGATTCTGAGGAGGGTGAGGAATTAGGCTATTCTCTCCAAAAAGGGGATGATGACATGAGGCATCGCTGTGTTTTAATGTACACTGTAGGTTTGATTAAGGGTTGTGTTCATACTCTTTCCGAGGGGGCTGAGGTGCGTGTATCGGGTACTCACTCTAAGGAAGGTGAGTCACAATTCTTGTTAGAATTCAAATAATTATATATAGAATTTTTTTTTTAATATTTTGCTATAATGCAGATTTTTTCAAATTTTTACTTTATTTTATTTTCGAAATTGAATTGTCTCTCCTCCTTATCACCTTCCTAAAGTTTAGCATCAAAAAATAAGTCTCGCTAAAATGCTTCGTCACGTCAAAATGCCTGTAGGCATCCCACTCCGGCACATGTTCGTCCAGAAAAGAACCGCTATGCTTCAATCAGAAAAGCCGTGCGCTATTTTAGCGGATAAAATAGTTCGAGGAACTATGCAAAACACATTTTATAATCATCCCAGTTACGTTATGGCTCGTGAAAAAATGTATTATACGATTTGGGTAGATATAGGCATTTTTTCCATCTCGTTTTATGCTCTGATATCATACTTCACACTTGCCTACTTTTTCAAAGCGTAGCTTAGAATATGAAGATAATAATAATCATTATTATTATTATTTTATTAACATTACTTTAGGTATAGTATATTTTTAGACTTTATCCAAGTCACGCGAAAATCCTTTTTATTTAAAGGAAAGGTGTGTTTATTCAGTTGAATCACCAATTATTTGGGATATTCTGATTTTATTTTCTATATGTATGATGCATTTTTTGCCTTTCTTAGAGTGAGAATTTTATTTGTATAGATATTTTTTTTTCCTACTTGCATTCTAGAAAGAATATAAAGGGAAGAAACACGTTTAAAATATGCGATGTATCGCCGCTGCATTAAGTTGCGTTCTTCGATAGTGCAGGCCCCGTTGTTCCGCTTACCATCTGTATTGGATTCTAGATCCTTTACACGACTAGTGAATAGACAAGGAAAATACTTAGAAAAAATTCTAGCTGACCAATATCATCACTCTTCTCCCGGGTCTCATTCTCATGCATTTGCGCAAATTGTAAAAAAAAAGGCAGAATTGGCCACAGCCCAGCTCAGATCATTAAAACAGAGTGAGGTAGAGGACATTATTTACACTAAATATGAGTTGAAGAGTAGACATCTTGTCACATGCCTCGTTCCCTACCAATATGCCGTCAATATAATACTTTCAAGGTTACCCAATGAGATGAGGGAAAAGTGTATTGCTGAGCTAAAAATTCAGGAGCAAAATATATTGGCGAAGAAGCCTATGAATCCCAATCGATGGATTCAATGGGAAGATCAGGATGTTTATAAATCTACTGGTATTAATTACCTAAAGCGCATTTCTGCGCAAATAAAGAGGCGGATTCCTATTTATTCCATCATGGGTCATATAAACCACGGTAAAACAACTCTTCTTGATGCACTCCAGCATTCCAGTATTGTCAAGTACGAGCCGCATGGGATAACACAGTCTATAAGGGTCTTTACCATTCCTCATTTCGAAGCTAATGATTTATACACCTTTATAGACACACCGGGACATAAAATATTCGCCGAAATGAGATTTCATTCGCATCTAATTGCGGACTACATTATTTTGGTAGTGTCTGTCATCGATGGGATTGGCAGTCAAACACATGAGGTAATCAAGGTTGCGCTGAATGTTGATAAACCCATAGTTGTGGTGATTAATAAGCTAGATGTTCTTTCGGACGCAATTATAGCAGAGAGTAAGGTCCAGCAAATATTGCTAGAATTGCAAGTGATAGGTATTGATGTGGATCTGGTTCACAGTGAGCATGATTTGGAGGTTATTCATAAGTCTTTTACTCAACAAACTGAGTCTGTTGCCGCTGACGGATTCCAAAAAGAAAATTATTTTCTCCCAATGAAGAAAGTCGATCCCACCTATGAGGGAAGTCTCAGCAAGCCAAAGCTAAACCTTCGGAGGAGATGCCTGGGGGTATGTATATCGGCGAAGAAAATGATTAATATGGATCTCCTTTGGTCCCTTATGCGCAGATGTAAGGAGGCAGCGCCGCCTGTTTGTCATAGTAATTCTATAGGATACAAGGAACATAATTCTGCTGTACAGGCTCTTGTTGTAGAATCCTCAAAACATTTGTTTGACGAAGAGGGGTTTCGTTTAAATAAACTTAAACAGCGTCTTCAGTCTTCTCTTGATGGCAATAATAATAAATATTTGAAGGAAATTGAGCGCAAAGGGCCTGCGGTTCGCCTTAATATGATGCGCAACTCTTCTTTTTGTCAGGCAAGTCAGTTTAACCGCACGAGCACCAACGTCCTCATGCTTTCGGTTATTATAACAGAGGGCGTTATGACGCGCGGGATGCATTTTATTGCCGATCAAGCCGAGGGTTGTATTGATTATATGATGGATTATTGGGGAAATCCGATCGAGAAGGCGTTGCCAGGGATGGCGGTTTCGATTGTCGACCTCCATAGCACTAGCAGCTTGCCAGGGGTTGGGATTCATGTGTTTTCTATGATCAACGAGGCCGAGCGGCTTCGAATTCATGCCTATCGCCAACTTTTGCAGTGGTTTGTGGAGTGTTTTACAACCAAACTTCATCTTCTCCGACCACGCGGGATGGACGTTCGTTTCATTCATTTGGGTGATTATGGGCAGCTCAAGGCTACCGAATGCTTGGAGATTCAGGTGGTGTATGGATGTTTTAATCGGACCCCAGCAAATACCGCCAACGATGCTTTGCCGAGGGAAAAAACCGTGGCAGAATACTTGCTTGAGGTGAATAGCATAGAGGAGGCTAAGGAGGTAAGCTGCACGAACTTGCTTGAGGCAAAGCGAACAAACCAGGTGGTGTTAAGCAAAAATGGAGCGGATATTTTGAATGCCCAATGGCAAAGTCTTCAGCTATCGCAAATTATATATTCTCAAGAGGAGTACGAAAGATATTTGCACCAGTGCATTCATATTGGAGTCTTTGTGAAGGTTGATTCTTGGCATTCTGCTCGTATGCTTTATCGTGAAATTCCTCGGCTAGGAACGCGGAAAATTCTTTTAAATGTCGTAGGCATTCGTTATGGAGCACTTACGGTCGATGATGTTATTTTCTTCAGCAACACCGCAAAGATTATTATTTGCTTCCGAGCTCCTTACGCACCATCGAGTGATCTGGATCACTATATTGAAGCTACCGATCAGTGGGTACTTCACACCGATCATTTTGCTGATATTATCACCTTCTTAAAATGGTGCGCCGTCTCAACGCATCGAGAGAAGGTCCCAAACGACAATGATATGAATTTGGTGAACTGCTTCGATAAAAATTATGAGTGTGGCGATAATACCAAATCTCAAAACCAATCCAAGAGTCCCAATCGAAGCAAAATGCTCCTTATTCCTCGATCTGATGATTAGGTAAATGTCACGAAAGCGATGCTGCACACATTTTCGATACCTACGCAAATACAGAATTTTGACGATAATGCAGGAAGACAACAACAACAAGGAGCCAAGCGATAAGGTAATGATAATGTTCTACTTTTATGGAACATTGTATCATTTTGTTCATCTTTACCACATTTTTTTTTTTAGTAACCTTTTTCTTTAACATAATGCGAGTGAATCACTTCCGTTTTTTTCCCCTTCTATTCAACCATATTTTGCTATTGCAAGAGTAGATTTCTTTCTTTTTATGTGCATGTGGCAGTTGATATGTAGACGATAAATACACAGAAACTTGAAAAAGGTATGCCAAATCAATTATCTATTGACCGAATTAAGTCATTGGCAGGTTCGCATCAAAAACCGTTGCTTGCTCTGAAAGCGTACACTGTTTTTATATTAGATCACCTTGTAGAAAATGATTATTTAGAATACGTTGTCGATCATGTGCTTCATTGTAATGTATTAGTGCTTCAGACAAAAGAAGAAATTGAATGCGTACGTGATTATACGCACATCGCATTGGATTTGCTACTCAGTATAATAGGTATTGAATTCGATAAAAAACTATTAAGCCTTGAAATCGTAGAGCTCATTCTGAGAAGCATTCAGGGAGGTAAATTAGAGGGCACCAGTGTGGAAATTCTAATGCTATTATACATTACATTAAACAATTGGGCTTGTTGTGAAGTACGGTCTGGTAGTACGACGCTAGGATACTCTCTTTTTCGTCTATGTCCAATCCTTTGTGAGATTCTGAGGAGTACCTCCACTCTATTAGAAGATACAAACTTGAATTTCGCTTTGGTAAACAATGAATGTGCCCACCAACTCATGATGTGTAATTTTCCGGAGGTGGAGCAGTTACTAATTAACGTTCTTGGGCTTTCGTCTGGGGTGGAATACCTTCTTCCATCCGGGCATTTAGCGATACCTGACGTCCAGGATTTACTCGGGAGTGGGCAGACTCACGAAGTTGTACTTTTGAAAGGGTTGGCTTGCTATAATATGGCCATCACTCAAGAGTTTCAGCATTGTGAGGAGGCTACGGGATGGTACACGGTTGTAATTGAGGTTCTAGAGTTACTCACCGACGGTATTACCCTGTTTGATGATTTGTCTGACGTATTAAAAATGATTCTCTCCGTAAAGGAAAGGCTATTAAAATATGTTCAGGAAACTAAACAGAGACTCCTTCAGGATCTTGGGAGTAGGGTTGAGAACACTTCACGCCGGCGACAGAAGGGTGCCCCAGGATCGAGAATAGGTCTGAGGCAAGGAAAACGCCTCACATCTCAAATTGACAAAAACCTTATAGCGGTAAGTGCTCCCGCAATTAGTGCGGACTTACGTTCCTCTATCAGACGTTCTGGTTTGCCCACTATGATTCTTGAACTTTTAAGTATGAAGGAGTTTTTTGATATTCTTTGTCCTGGCTTCACGGCAGGGCTTGATTCCTGCACTGATGTTTTTATTTCACCTCTATGTGATTGTATACCATCCGAAGGGCGAGTGGTGGGAGTTTTGGTATGCACTAAGACCCCAGTTCAATGCGCTATTGAACAGGATAAAATGCTATCACAGGGCATTCGAGAATCAAAATCGGTATGGGTACTGAGGCGTCAAATATCTGATCTATCCCTTAGACGTGAACCCGTCAATATCTCGAGTAAATTGATCGACATACACGACCGAAATGTATTCCCCAGAGTGTCCTCGCCCTCACCACCCTCGCTCTCGGAGGTTGAAAAATCGTGCACACAACTCAGTTCTGTTTCGCGGCTTCTAGATAAGAGGCTTAATGTGTTGATTAAATGCGAACGAGTCTTCGAAGATCGGTGGTCGGCCACGGAGATGATTTTGAAGGCGTTAGTGGCTTTCTATGTGCCGCAGGAATTACTGAAGCTAAAGGAAGAGTTTATTGTTAATCAGCGCGTTCAGGCATTACATAAAGATCGATGTGCGCGTATTCTGACCGCGTTTTTTAGGCGAATTCTCACTGAGAAGAAGCTATCTCTGTCTAAGAGTGGGGAATGGTATAGAAAATTCAGAGAAAACGAGGCGGCGATCACCTTGCAAAGTTATGTGCGCCGATGGATTGCCATTCAAAGGCGGAAAGAACTGGAATTCGTGAAGAAGCGTATGATTTGTCGAATCACCCGTGTACAAAGTCTTTTTCGAGGACGAAAGACGAGAAGGATGTATTTTGAGCTTCTCAAGGAGCAGCAAATCGCGAAGTCCGCGGCCCTGGAGCGTGCCGCGATGCACTTCGCGGCCACTCAAATCCAGCGCACTTATCGAGGGCACTCCACCCGATTGGCTGTTTGGCGGTATCTTGGCATGCATCATTACGCCACGCTTCATCATTTGCATGATTCCCGTCAATACTACGCCACTCTCATTCAAAGTTGGGTGCGGGGAATGTTATTGAGGAAAATATACGGAAAGCAGGTTTATGCAAAACGGTGCAGTGCCCGCAATAGGTACCGTACCGCTTTACTGGAGAAGAGTTGTATACTTATTCAACGATGTTTTCGAGGCTATCGCGCGCGTGGTCGTATTATTCGTCTTTTTTCTTCTTGTTCAAACGGTAGACCGAAAAACACTCCCGCAATCGACCGTCTTCAAGATGATGAAGTAGAGGAAAAAATACAAAGTGTTTTCTACACTGCAGCGATCATTATCCAACGATCGTGGCGTCTGTATCATGATAAAAAACATGTGAGAGAGCTGATGGAAAAACGAAAGATCATGACCCTTTCTAGACAAAAAGAAAACCACAAACCTTTTTCGATCAATGAGTGGATTTTCTAAATTTCGAATGTATATTTATTTACGCGATTGTGTACGCTGTGCACATTTTTATTTTCTGATATTTATATTGTTATGTTTAGTGAAAAAGCAGCTGTAGTAGCTGACGTATGTTTTGCTTCGTGTAGCTGTAAAAGAATGGTGTTGGAAAAACGCCAGATATGGGAGTGATAGACTTGGGTACAGTATAATTACTTGAGTGCTTATGCAGCCCTCAGTTACCTATCTCCCTTTTTATCTAATTTATATATTGTTATTTTTCTAATCCTTTTATAAGAGTTCCTATACTTTTATGCTCGCGTGAAAGCGCATATATTAATGTTCTTTCCCTTTTGCTCTTTCGATTTTTATTTTCCCAAGATTTAGGTTCAAAGGCCGAATATCAGCTGATGTGTAGATTATAACCGAAACCTCAATAACATAAAACGCGATTACACATTCAATGGGAAACTCAGCATCTGCTGCTAATGTCTCTGACGCATTTCATTCATCTTTGAGCAATAATCCTTTCGACGCGGAGAATGTTGATACAATCTTCAGCTTATCCTTTAGTAAGAAGAATCTTATGAGTGAGTCAACTATTAAATATGTCCGTGCGCTTCGTCATTTTCACACAGATCGATTTGCCTTACTTCTGTATCATTGCATAAAGGAACTTTCTGTTATGAGGGAGAAAAAGAAAGCATCCGTTTTGTCTTTCAAGGCCGAAGACATTCGTCGATTTTTAACAGCACTCCAAATTTTGCGTCTGCTTCTCCCCATAGCCTTTGAAGATGGGGAGACCGATATTGACGAAAATGCGCAGGAGCAACGTTCGACCGCGACCTCAATTATTCTCCCGAAGGAAAAAGTTCCAGAAGAATCACAACAACCACTGGAGTTCAATTCATTTGACGCAGGTTCCTTCTCTCAGAACAAGAATGTGGCGAAAAAGCAATCCACCTATAAATTTCAACAACTTTTTTTTATGGAGAGAAGCAAGTGCAATGACAGCGAAGTGGATTCTCATTTCCCTTTGCTTCCGCTCCAAGAGGCTCGTGAGGCCCCACTGATGTTAGGACCCTATCTTGCATGGGTTCTTGTGGAGTCCTGCTTTATTAGAGGGCTCACGCTACACGAAGAAAATAGCCCTACCAAATTACCACTTTTTAGTTTACTCCATCCTGAAGTTGACATGACCTTACTTTGGTATCCTGGGATTGTCTGTGCAAACTTCTCTGACGCCCCTCTAGCATCCTCGTCAAGCGAAGTACACACACCTCGGAAAGAGATTCTTAAAACGCTACTTGTGATGGTTTCCTCTCCACTTTTTTATTCATCAGGCTATCGCGACATCATTTTTATCGAATCACTCATTTCAGTTTCTGTGATTCCATTGATGCCTACTCTCGCGGTCTCATTACTCAACGCCATCCTAATCTACAAGCCCCACACTCACATTCCATACGTCACCAAATTGTCGATCGATGAAAAAAAGGTTGTTATTATGGGCTCGCGTTTTCTGTCAGCCATCTTGTATTACACTGGTATTCCTATGGATGCTTTTCCCAATGCGGTTCGCGACAAGGGATCAACGAAGAAAGGTAAAGGGCCGAATAATCAGGGTTTAACCAATGTCAAGGACTCTGAAGAAGGTAACCAGGTCCACTCCTCCACAACAAACTTTCAACAGGATGCGCAAGCAGTCTACAAAATTCTGGAGGACTCTACTGCTATATCTTTTACTAACAAACAGGATGACAATTCCGAAATGAAGGTTTCAGGTGGGTTGGCTATGCATTCGTTTACCTCTTCTAAGGATTCAAGAGAGATGGCGCTTCATCAGCCTTCAGACAAGATCTTACCAATCCCCAAAAGCGACTCTTTTTTGGACAACTCTCAAAGCCGACCTTCTCATAAACATACCGTTGGTGGTGCGTCTAAAAACATTGTACACTTATGCTTCGTACACTCCATTCGCAAACTTGTTCATGAACTCACGATGTCAGAGGCAAAGCTCGTTTTAGATCGTCTCAAAAGCACCATGGTCCCAACGCCGCATCTGCGCCATAAAGTTCTCCCGAGCTCGTGGTTATCCGTCATTCCCGAAAGCGGGCTTGTCTTTTTGTTATCCAAGCTTTTAGATATCTCGCCGTCCGTGTCCAATCAGTTTTCACTCAACCCGGAGGTTTTGCCCTACGTAGTTCGAATTGTCGAGTGCGGCCTGGATTCACAAAAAAAAGCCAACAACGCACGCCAGACCCAAGTTTATATCAACATTCTACTGCGTCTGTCCCAGAATCGCGGCTTCACACTGCTGTGCAACCAACCGCTTTCCACGTCCCTTACCTTTCCCTTTCCTAAACTGCCGTCGGAGGCGACGTTTAACGATTTTCTTGTCACCGCGTTGAGTTTATTCATCGGCTTCGGGGACGCCTCCCTGGGTTCCCACCTGGTCACGTGCAGTTTTGTTCTCTCCAATATGTCGTCCTTCATTATTGGGTTGGGCCCGGTGGCCTCAAGAAGTCTGGTCTCTGTTTTTGCTTATTTGGCCCATCGATGTTTGGAGTATACCGCCAGTAGTTCGTTTGAGATGCTTCGAATCTATGGACCGACTATGGCCGCCATCTGTGAGGCGATTTCCTGTTTGTTTCGATATCATAAGGATGGGTCGCATTATGTGATTACCTTCTTACTTAACCATCGCGGCCTCATTAGGCGCGTGAGAGAAATTTATATAAGTTCGGAGTCCTTGAGGGCTAGTATCAATGTGCCTTTCATGATTCAAGATCTAGAAACTGTTCTGGCTGCAGCTCTCCCAATTGTTGATAGTCTCGGTTTTCCTTCTACACGTAATGCGAACTCTGAGGCTGAGCAGAATTGCAGTGAGTTTAGTCATTTTTGGTGTCATCCCGAAATGACCTTTGAGATTGACAAGACCGTAATGCGGAAGCTGAAAACCCTTGTATTGGTTGGTATTCTCTTGCCTCATGAAATAATCATCAAGGGGGTCCAAACAACGAAACAAATTGAGGAGCAGTTATTTGTATTATTCTGGGAAAGCATGTACCTATCCTTTGACCCTGGTACATTTGGGTATCATAAATCAATAAAGTTATTACACTTTACCTAATATTTTTCACAGGAATGTATACATTATAGTGATAAAATGATATAAAGTGCATCAATATTATGCACATAGGAACCAAATCATTAGCTGATATATATATATATATATATATATTGATAGCTCATTGCTTTTGTTTGTCCTGTGAAGGTATTGCTTTAGAAGGTGAAAGAGTTAATAATATTATTTTATATTTACCCATAAATGAGGGCGATATATTCCACAGTTGTTTTGTGTCTAAATTATATTTTTTTTGGCTTAACCTTATTTATTACATAGATTTTCACAGATAGAGTTTCTACGGAAAACAATGGTTTCCATTTCCAGTTGTACGCATAATTGTCTAATATATAGGAAAATCAATGCTCCAAATGGAAATTCAAATATTGAATTTTAATTATTATGTGGTATTCAAGGTGAAAGTATTCACAATATCGAGATGCAATATAATCAAACTTCTTAGGGGGTAGTTCAGTTTAGTTTAGTTTTGATATTTTGCTTCTACATGTCTTTATAGTGCACCTCATCAAGGAGGGAGTTTACTGTAAGATTATATTGATTCTTTTAAGGTCCTTTTTTTATAGTTTTACAAAAAGAAAAAAAAGAAATGTCAAATTTATCCGTTATTTCATTACTTTTATTATAAATTTCAAAGTACTACGCTGATGTTTATTTTTGTTGCATATAATGTTCTTTTTTCATATTGAAAGGATAAGAAGTTCAATTTTCAATAATAAATATAAGGGTGAAGGCGTACTCGAGAGCAAAATTTATATATTCTATACCTATTTGACAATAACGATGTGATCTTTCTACAAATTCCATTTTTCTGAGTTATTTTTCTGTGCGTGACTCTTTTTTGTAACAAGGTAATAGATTGGTTCTTTTGCGCTATATTTTTTAGTAGTAGTATTAGTTTTTTTTTCTGATACGCATTTTTTCTTTTTTCACATTTTTACTAGTGAGCTCGTGATAGAGTTTCTTTTACTTTATTCTTTATTTGCTTTCTTCAGAAAACAGGTACCTCACACATCATAGAGGAAATATAGTTATTAGACAATGCCCAGGAACGCCTGTACTGCGGTGCATGTTGCGGCGCATATGGAGTGCCAGGTTTGCTTTGATACCTGGAGTCACCCCATGCAGCTTAATTGTGGGCACATTTTTTGTGAACATTGCGTACCCACCTGCGTCACTCACTGCCATATTTGCCATAGCCACATCTTTGGCATGCACCCCCCCAGCGATCATATCATTGAGGAGACTTTGAAAGTGCCGGTGCTGTGTTCGAGCTGTGGCTGGCGAGGAACCCGAAAGGCCTCTGAGGCTCATCGATGCGATTCTCGCGAGGTTCACTCCATGTTTGAGAGCTATCCACAACTCAGCGACGACGACTGGTTTAAGATTGCTACGAACCAACCGCTACACCCACCACGTGTTGCACAGGCGAGAGAATACAACCATATATTGGCTGGCATTCAGCTCGCTACCACACGACCCGACCTGTTAGCAAATTGGCCCCTCAAAAAGTAACATTTCATTAATGTGATTTATTTTAATTGATTTACTTCTTTAATGCTCCTTTTACAAACTACTTCAATAATATTAATAACATTTAGGTGATCTTTTTTTATTTCAGTGCTTGTGTTTTTTTCCAATAAAACGAAATAGTACTTCAACTCAACAAGTTGATTCAAAGATTGGTAAATCTACTTGTTGAGGAAGCGCAATGATTTTTTTTTCGACTTCAATTATGACTAACTTTGTCTTTAACTATGCAATTAATTACCCCTTCTTTCTTTTATATATATATATAATATACAATAATACCATACGCACCCAACCCCCTAGTAATTGTTAGTCCTGTACATGGTGTGCGCTTCTCTGAGTGCCCCTTCACCCTCAGCCTTGGCCTGCGGATGTCCTCACCGGACTCTTCTCGCCAATCTTCTTCTCCAGCCTTATCGTCGACGCCGCGGAAAGTAATTTACTTTGTCGACCACACTGTCACCGCCATCGCCTACGCCGAGGGCCATGTCATGCGACCCTCCCGAGTTCGCGCCCTGCACGCCCTCGTGCGCTCCTTAGGACTGGACAAGGAGATGACAATTGCCCAGGCCCGTCCTGCCAGCCTCGAGGAGATGGGGGGCTTTCATCGCCATGCGTATTTGGAATGCCTTCGCCATGCCCCGCGGATCTGCATGAACCCTTTTGAGGCCACCGCCTTGTCCTTTCAGAAGGAGTTTGACGTCCCGGTGGGGTCGCTGAAGGGGGATTGCCCTCTATTCCCGGAGGTCTGGTCGCTCGTGGAGAGTCAGGCGGGGGCCTCGTTGGCGTGCGCGGAGGCCCTTATTCAGGGGCACGCCCGCATTGCGATGAATTGGGCGGGGGGGATGCACCACGCGGCCGCCGCGCACGCCAGCGGGTTTTGCTTTGTCAATGATGTAGTTTTGTGTATTCGGCGACTGCTGCGTCGCTTTCAGAGAGTCTTGTACGTTGACCTCGACGTCCATCACGGGGATGGGGTGGAGGGGGCTTTTTATGGCAATCCCCGCGTCCTGACCCTATCGCTCCATCAATTTGGGGATGGGTTTTTCCCGGGTTCTGGGGCCTACGGCGGGGCCGAGACCGCGCGGAGCTTCGCCGTTAACGTTCCCCTGCCCCCTCTTACGGGAGATGCGGCCTATTTGCAATCCTTTCGCACCGCCTTGACGGCCTCGGTGGGGTGTTTTGATCCGGAGGCGGTGGTGGTGCAGTGCGGGGCGGACACCATCACCGGCGATCTTATCGGTCGGCTTTGTATTTCCACTCTTGCCCACACCCAATGTGTCGCCGATCTTCTTTCTCTCGACTTGCCCACCGTTTTGTTGGGCGGGGGGGGCTATCATGTTTTTCACACCGCCCAATGTTGGGCAATTCACACCGCAACCGCCGTAGGGCGGACGGCCGCGCAGATCCCTTACTACATCCCGCGAGGGGATCCGTATTATTTGGAGTACCGCAAAGAATGCGCCCCGCTCCGGCCTACGCTTCAGGTCTATCTGGATGTGGATGTGGATCAGCCGCTTGGGTTGGATGAGAGCCTGCATTATTGGCGGGAGTTGTGTAGAAGTTTGCAAATGCAAATGCGCGCGGCACGCCAAATACGCCAGGGCTTTACTAAGACGATCGACGCGGCGAAATGGTGGCGCGATGGGTTGGGGGTCGAAAGCTCGACCTCACCGCGCAGCGGCGTAGCGTCGGAGTTGCCAGAGCAGACTAATGACCCTTCCCCCCCCTTACCAGCCTCCTCAACTAAGGGGAAGAAGGAAACCGAACCGTCGCATAAGCGGCCTCGATTAACCACATCTAGTGAAGCAAAAAGGCGGTCTTACAACTGAAGAGGGGTGAATTGGTGTAAGATGTTTTCATTTAGCCGTTTTTGTCTTTAACTAAGTCACAAAGTCGTTTTTATCTTTCTACTTCCTCAAACATTTTCAACCGGTATACTTTTGTATAACGGGCAAATTGAATATCTAGAAGATGAGCCTTATATATCTATAGATATAGATATTACCCTTCTCCCTTTTTACTTTAGCTTATTGCGTTATCACTTCATTTCTGTGGATACAATTATTGTGTTTTCATGCTTTTCTGCATTCTTCTTTTCACGATGGTGTCTTGGTTGTAAGGGAGTATATTTCTAAGGGTACCTACTGCGTGCGAGGCAACAGAGTTTGTGGAGAAGGTCTGTGGATTCATAACTTACTATTCTGAGCCACTTGAGTTGCTGAGACGAAATGGTATCCTATTAACACTTTGTGAATTTTCCAAACAAACACGAATAATGAATACCACTAATCTTGGTGAAGTGTGAGTGTAGCCTATCTCCAATTGTTGCCTTGTCTCTACCTTTTTTTACCCAAAGGGATATAACGTGGCACTAACAAGCGCATACATTTATTATTCCCTACACAGCTTTCGTACGATATTGTTTGGAGGGATGAGGTATCCCCTATAATATTTGAGGATGATATGTGACTTGTGAATTTGACTCTTTTAAGAAGAAATCTTCTGCTATCTTTTATACTAAATTTTTTTTTAATGGTTTTAGGGAAAAATCGTAGTGTATCTTAAACGACATCTGCAGTTTGAGGATAGTTAATTGTCTAATCGTATCTTATTGATTTTCAATAGCGATAGACCCATTCAATGCATTCATTGTGCATTGGACAGGACTTTAATGAGGAACTAACCTGTAACATCTGCATGGACTCATGGAAAGACCCTCAGGAGGTGGTACCCTGTGGGCACATTTTCTGCAAGGAATGCTGTAAATCCATCCATACCTGCTCCATTTGCCGCGTCCCGATCCAATCCTACCGGAAGCCCAATCGCGCATTGGTGAACTTAGCCCTGCAGGTTCGGGTGCGGTGTGGTAAGTGCCAGTGGTCTGGGACGCGCGAGGAGAGCCTTCGCCATCAGTGTGGCGTCGTCGAACCTGCTGGAGGGGCCGCGATGGGGGCTGGATCACCTTATCCTTTCCAATCTTCACCGTTTTTGCACGGAACCGCACCGGCTCCCAACTTGAATCCGCATTTAGTAAATAGTCCCAATCCGGTTAGCCCGCCGCCGTCAATTCCAGGTGGACGAGCGGGAGGGCGACGATATGAGGTAATCGAACCCTATGGGCCGGAGCCTTGGCGGCTGTATGGGATCCAACAGGCCGAATACGACCATCTTTTTTCACTCTTTTTATTCTTTGATTCGGACGAAAGTGGCGTTCTTAACTTTGAGGAGATTTCCCGACTTGCCCACTGGCTGAATTTTGCCCATTCCCGGCAAGATGTCGAACGCATTTTCAATGATATGGATGTCTACGGACGTAAGAAACTTTCCGTGGGGGAGCTTCTTACTTGGATGAAATACAACAAACCCAACCCATTGGCTCTCTACGGTATGACGCAGGTGCAGTACAACACGGTTATGCTCCAGTTTCGCCTTTACGACGCCAATCAAGACGGTTTTATGGAATTGGATGCGTTTACGAGATTAATGATGCAAAACAAGGATGTCTCGTCACCCAGGGAAGCCTATAGGTTATTTCACCATATTGATACGAACGGCGATGGCGTAATTAGTCTGCATGAGTTTGTTTTGTTTCGTTCAGGGCAGATGAAATAAATAGGTAATAATTTGTGTAGCTTTCATAAGATGTTATATTGTATTTATGCAAGGTGCAGTTTATCAATATATTTGATAACAACCTCAGCGGTGGTAAAGCATTTATCAAGGGAAATACATTCAATAGAAACAATATTTTGATAAATATTCATAGACGCCCTTGATGTTGTTAAATCGCATCTGCTTTTCACAAAACAAAAATATCTAATACCTTTTTTTTTAGTTTAATACATTATTACTTCATTTCTGTGGATACAAATATTGTGTTTTCATGCTTTTTTTAATTCTTTTTTTCACGATGGTGTCTTGGTTGTAAGGGAGTATATTTCTAAGGGTACCTACTGCGTGCGAGGCAACAGAGTTTGTGGAGAAGGTCTGTGGATTCATAACTTACTATTCTGAGCCACTTGAGTTGCTGAGACGAAATGGTATCCTATTAACACTTTGTGAATTTTCCAAACAAACACGAATAATGAATACCACTAATCTTGGTGAAGTGTGAGTGTAGCCTATCTCCAATTGTTGCCTTGTCTCTACCTTTTTTTACCCAAAGGGATATACCTTGTCACTACTAAGTTCATCCCTGAATAATGATTTGATAGATTATTATAAATCCACAGGTATGAATTTAACCCTATTGCATCACCTTTTTTACCGTCCGCATGCTCTTTGATATGTTTTGGTAGCTCAAAACCTTTTTCCCTATTGCAGTAGAGCGCTACCACTTCACAACCTTGTTTTGGTTTCTTCATCAATGGGCTAGAACCTGCGATATGGTCGATATTTGCGGACGTGGAGTGCGTGATGGGCTAGGTTTTCATCAATTTCAATTTTATTGGGGAAGATCGAGCACATATTAACGTGCGTTAATTTAAGGGTACTCAAGGAGAGGGAAACAGAGTGTTGATTTTATTCTGCAGGGAAGTGTACCACTGCACCTCTCGCTTGGTTCATTTTTTATGCGGACTTTTTGAGTTCTCTCAATAGCCTCACAGCTAATGAGATCACCATGCCATTTGTATCCTATGGCTTACGCAGTTTTTTTGTGTTTGAAAGTACACCTTTCTTCTCCCTTATCTACACACACACTTTGGATCTGATGGAGGGTGTTTTTAATTTTAGCACAAGGTAATTCGACCCTTCTCTAATCTGAAAGGTGCGACTTATTTTTGCCCTTGAAATGGTTATAGGATTAGGTCCTCATCTCCTTGATTTCAACTAAAGAAACAACACCAAGACTTTGACTGCTGCGGTCACTTGATATGGCGTTGGACAGTTTCCTTCGGAGATGAAATGTTTGTTTACGATTTATATATTTTTAAATCAGAAGCAACTCGGGAATGTGAGAATCTGGAAAGCGAGATACACACAAAACACACATTTATCTATTAGGTACGTCTCAGAAGTTCATTATTGTAATAACTGCTTTTACAAGGGTAGTGGGACAGTTTTATCATTGTCTACACTTCATATTTATCTTTTCCCGCATAATAATATTTCTCAATCTTTTTTGATTGACTAAATTTTATTCAGTGTTTGTCTATATTGGTATCAGTCAATACTTTTTATGTTTTTTCTTCCAAAATTGGGAAATCCTTGGTATTCGTCTGGCGAGCCAGCGTGATCACTTTTTTTTGCATCCTTTTTTAGTCTTAAGAAAAAAATCCATTTCTTTAACAGCACACACTATTTTCAACCCATTAGATTTCAATATAGACAACAACCATATTATTATTATTATTATTATTATTGTTGTTGTTGTTGTGCACGATGGCAGATGTTAACACGTTTCGGGACTTCCCCACCCGTTCGGTTATTTTCACAGAGCGCGAACGCGTCCTCGAGGCCCGTCGTGCGCTTGTGCAGGAACTTCAGCAAAGCGTCAACGTCCTTCAGCTGGAAAACGACTCCCGCGAGGAGCACCTTCGCCATGAGCGGCTTCGCTACGCCCAGCGAAAAAGTCTCCAGGACGAAAAGTTGAGCACGAAGGAGGCCCAAATTCGCACCCAACACGAACGGCTTCAACAGTTCGTCTCGGAAGAGGAGCGCTTGCAAGGGGCTTTGCAGCGGTGCGAGGAGAGTATTCAGGCCGCCACCGGGGAGTTAGAGCGCCGAAAGGAGTTAGAGATTAAAGTACACGAGATTAAGGATCGCTTGACGCAGATGAAGTTAAGGCTGGAGGAAAGTGAGGGAAATTTAATAAAACTCGAGAGTCGAATGGAGCGGCAGGCGATAATAACGGAAAAGCGCCATGGGATGGTTGTGGATCAAGTGCCCACTATTTCCCTGCCTCGTCTTGGTGACAATGAAAGGGGATTAAGCGTCGAGGATATGGCGGGGGATAGTATTCTTCTGGTAGATGAAACACTTTAACTGTTGAGTTCAGATGTATATATATATATTTTTTCTAGCTCGTTCTCACTTTCAGAGGGGAGATTTATAGATATTGATTGTGTTCTATTTTCCACCAGTGGATTCAGTTTTTTCACTTTTAGATTATGATTATAATTTTCTATCGCCCTTTTTAGACGTTAGCACCTGCGCACGAAACGCGTTTTTATTTGTTCTATTTATTTACTATTCTTGTGTTTATATTGGACACGAAAGAAAACCTGAAAATGTAAGTGAACAAAAGTGGGATTAATGCTCCCTTTTAAACATCATCACCTTTTCCTCTTTCCCCCCCCTATAGATAATTTACTGTGATAGTTTTTTTTCGTTATTTTAGCTTATATATATATATATTTTTTCCCTCTGTACACAAACCAATATCACTGATTTATCTGATCTAAATCCATCTACATCATCCAAGAGCATACTTTTACCCCTTCCCACCCAAATAATAAAAAAGGAAAAATGACAACTCAACCACTTCTGCGACTTCCCAAGGCCGATGACTTCATTAAGAAGTGCTCTGTTAACGACAACGAATTCCTGCCCTCAGATTGCACCTTTGTTAAATGCTTGGGCTACTTCTTGAAGAAATGGTTTATCGAGCGGATTTGGAAAAAGGGTGGCGTGATGTTAACCAAAACCTCGAAGAAGACGTGTGGTATCAACGACCTTTCAATTTTTGAGCGATTCCCTGAGGACGACTCCCTGATACCTTTCTTCTTTAATACGAATTCCACGAAGACGCCGACTAAAGACTCAGTTAAACCGAATGAGGGCTCCACTTCCGTGGAAAAGACGATTGTGAATAGATCGCCACTGTCTAAACATGCGAAAGCGGTGCGTCTAATTTTCGTTTTGCTGCTTTCCCTAATGTTTCTTTCCTTTACCATGATGATGTCCTACAACGTGTGGCTCTACATAAAGTACTGCCATGTGCGAAATAAGAACAGTGATCCCACCGGTGTTTCTTTTTTAAAAGAAAATAGGAAATCCCAACCAGTTCCGAGGAGTGCTTCCGAACGTCGATGCTCTCGTCACCCGTCTCTTTCAGAGCCATTTAGCATCAACGAGATCACCACAGGAACGTCAACTAATTCAATGCCTTCGAAATCCTATTGTTTATAACTTGACGTAAATGTAAAACACTCCGAAGTATAGCTCCAACGGCCGCCCCGAAGCGCGGCAGACAGATCTAATATGACTATCCTTTAAATTACTTTACCTCCTTTTTTTATATATATATATATATATACTTGTACTGAACTTACTGTTTTATTGTATATTCCATGCTAAATTGGTATATATAGCTATTCTAATTTTATTCTCACTACTACAATTGAAGGTTATATATGTTAACTTAGTAGGTTTTTTTTTATTAATTGTGTATTTTTATTTATGTGTTTCTTTTTATTCTAGAATCTGAAAAGAGTTTCAAAGGTAAATGAAAGAAAATAAATGAAACTGCAAGTACCCTTATACATTTTTATATATATATTTTTTTATCTGAATCAAAAAGTCCTAAAGTTTTTTTTTGAGGGGTGGGGGTGTACTCTATCTAAAAATAAGTAAATGTGTGCATTGCATACCCCTCCCGGAGACAATAACTATTTCAAACCGCCCATCAATGTGTCTTTAAATTTAGCCACTATTCCCTACTCTCATATTTGTTAATCCCATACTTCACAAAAAGGTAGCACTACA